GAGTGCCAAGGGCCCCAGGAGTACTTCCGGAGGGCCCAAAGAAGCTCCAAGACACCACCCGTCGCGTCATATGGCAACCCACCAGCAAAGGCTACCCACTCCACCCGTCCTCTGAAATCGCCATGTTTCTCCCTTTTACTCTCCCTTTTTTGAGTTTGCCGTTGGTATTTCTGCTGCTGTTGACGGTCCCTTCGGTCCCTCTCCTCGTTTCAATTCGCATCTCGACAGTTGCTGTTCCCGCTGGACGTTCCCCGGATATCGCACCGCCATCAAGCCGAACCGAGTCGGCCGGCTTGTCCTTGACGGCCGATAACAATCTGAAATAGTGCACGGGCTTTGGAGAAGGCACAGATCATGTCGTTATTACAATCGACGAGTCCAGTACAATGGCTGGTGACCCTGCTCGCAGTCGGGAGTCTCATACCCACTACCCAAGCGCAGTACAATATTGATACGCCAGGTACACGCGAACAGAGGGGAGCGGATGGCAAGCAGAGAACACGGACTAACACTGAACCCCAGATGCGATACGGAGCTCGGCGCGCACACTGGCCTACGACATGATGCTCTTCTACCAGGGCAACAAGTCGGGCGAGATCCCGGGTATCTTGCCGGGCCCGCCGACGGAGCACAAGGGCGACTACTACTGGTGGGAGGGAGGCGCCATGATGGGCACCTACATCGACTACTGGCACTTTACCGGCGACCCGAGCTACAACCATGTCATTACCGAGGGTATGCTGCACCAGACGGGCCCCAATGACGACTACATGCCGCCCAACCACACCGCCTCCCTCGGAAACGACGATCAAGGTTTTTGGGGCATGTCGGCCATGCTTGCGGCCGAGAACAAGTTCCCGAACCCGCCTGAGGACAAGCCGCAGTGGCTAGCGCTGGCCCAGGCCGTCTTCAACACGCAGGCGTCCCCGGAGCGGCACGACGAGACGTGCGGCGGCGGCCTGCGTTGGCAGGTGCCCATCAGCAACATGGGGTACAACTACAAGAACACCATCGCCAACGCCTGCTTCTTCAACATTGGCGCGCGTCTGGCGCGGTACACGCAGAACGAGACGTACGCCAAGTGGGCCGAGAAGACGTTCGACTGGCTCTGGGACATTGGGTACATTGACCACGCCGAGTGGCGCGTCTACGACGGCGCCCACGTCGAGCACGACTGCACCGACATCAACAAGGCGCAGTTCAGCTACAACGCGGCCCTGCTGCTGCACGGCTCCGCCTTCATGTACAACTACACCAACGGCGCGGCCAAGTGGCGCACGCGCGTCGACAAGCTGCTCGAGGGCCTCTTCCGCGACTTCTTCCCCGAGGACATCGCCTTCGAGGTGCCGTGCGAAGGCCGCCAGGGCGCCTGCACCGCCGACATGATCAGCTTCAAGGGCTACGTGCACCGGTGGCTGTCGGTTGTGACAAAGCTCGTCCCCGAGACGAGCGATCGCATCTTAAAGGTGCTGCGCACATCGGCCACGGCCGCGGCCCGGCAGTGCACCGGTGGCGAAACGGGCCGGCGCTGCGGCTTTTACTGGTCGGGGGGTGTCTATGTCGACCCGGCCGTCGACAAGACGAGCGGGGCCGGTGAGGCCATGAGCGCTCTAGCGGCCGTGTCTAGTCTGCTTGTCACCGAGGTCGACCCCCCTGCTACCAACACATCGGGCGGTATCAGCAAGGGCGACCCCAATGCGGGCAGCCGCAGTAAAGACAATCCAGAACCGTTAGCCCCCATTACGACGGCCGACCGCGCGGGGGCAGCTATCTTGACTTTTCTGCTGTTGGCCGCGATAATGGGCTTGTGGGGTTGGATGAGCTTTGGGGATTAGGAGGTAGATGGAGACGGGACGAGGTAGCGTTTGGCTTGAACTGTATATATCGCCATATCGGGGTTTGGCGGCTTGCATGCAAGGTCCTCCTCTATGCGAGGTTCCTTGGTTGGCGTCCTTCTGGCGTAACGGGGGATGGGGGTCTGGTTTTTGTGGTCTTTAGTCTGACGGGGTCAGGCACCTGGTTTACGAATTGCTCAGTAATATCAAAAATTCGCATCAAGATTCCTTGGAGATGTCTCGGCATGGTTTTCTTTGAGGGTTCATTTGCAAAATTTTCGCTTCCACCGTCGGGTCTTTTCATTCAGTGTTCCGATGTCAACATGCATGCAAGTTTACCTCTGCTCGGTTTCGCTTTCGAGAGTGCCTGGGTGAGTGTTCCTTCGGCCACCCCTGAGCAATTTGTTTGGCGGACCAATTGCCTGAAGCCGACACTGGAAAGTCACTGACCGGGTGCTCTGGGAAACCCGCCCCCGTCCGTGGGCGGTCAAGCAGTCTCCTCTGGGTCTTGATTATGGATAATCATGTCGTTAGCTGTTCGCCTTTAGCAGACGGCGGATTTCAGATGGCAGATGGCAAATTGTACAACGACGAATGCGACAGCAGAAAGGATCTCGACCATAATCGGCGGATGAATCCTTGCTCATGGAAATTAAGGTTGGAACGTCATCGGCACCGTTAGCCCAAGATCTCGGTGGCGCGCGCAACGCCTGTCTTCTTCTGGTGTTAGTGCGCGCCATGTGCCGTCTAGGTTGAACGGCCCGCGTCTTAATCAAAACAGCCTCAGCTTCTCGGTAGCCTAGGGCAGGTGGGAAGGTCGCACCCCGCCTGTCATGACTCCAAGTGGCCAAGCCTCGAGGTGTTCGTAAGTCTCCGCCGACGCGGCGGACGGGGAGTTCCTTCTTCCCAAGGGCGGCCGACTCGGCAGCGAGTTGTGCTCCGCCTGCGCGCCCGCCTATCAGCGAACCAGGACCCAGACCGAAAGCGAGCCAACACCGCTCCAACCTATGGAACCACCCGGCGACTCATCATCCCCCGCCATCAACGGGAATCCGTGCGGCCATAGTGTATTCCCGCCCGTCGCAAGGATAAGGCACCTTACCCCACTGGGGGCTCTCTTGATGGCAGAGTTCCTATATAACGACGATGGTGGGACGTTGGCTCCGTCGCTTGTTGCCCTAGGATGCAGCACACTTGATGCTTTAGATTCGGCAACTTACCTCTCCACCTCCCTACCTACCTCGTAGGCAAATTATATACAGCACCGCCGCCGAAATGGCTACCCCCGCCTGGAGTTTTCTGAACTCTCTCGGCTTGGCAGCTCTGCTGGTATGTTTGACCAAGACCAGTTCCACAGCCGTCGAAGTAACCTAGGCGACATCTCACTAACACCAACCGCCCAGGCCACTGCCTACGCCATTTTCAGCGTTGTCTACAACCTCTGCTTCCACCCCCTCGCCAGATTCCCTGGGCCGATCCTCTTGCGCGCAACCCGCCTAGGCTTCATCGCAAAGTCGATAGGGGGCACTCTCCCCATCGAGATGCTCGACCTCCACCGACGGTACGGCCCCGTGGTGCGCATCGCGCCCGACGAGCTCGCCTTCTCCGACGCCGAAGCATGGAAGGACATCTACGGGCACAAGGCCGAAGAACTGCCCAAGGCGCCCATGTTCTACCGCACCAAGGCGCAACCGCCCAGCATCGTGACAGAGGACCGCAAGAACCACGCCATGCTGCGCCGGTCCGTCGCCCCCGGCTTCAGCGACCGCGCCCTGCGCGACCAGGAGCCCATCATCGGGTCCTACGTAGACCTACTCATCAGGCGGTTGCGCGAGAGTGTCGTCGATCCGGACCGCCGCGACCCCACCACAGGCCTCCAGGCCAAGGCGCCGCTCGACATGATGTCATGGTATAACTGGTGCACATTTGACATCATTGGTGACTTGGCATTCGGTGAGCCGTTTGGCTGTTTGGAGAAGGGCAAGTCGGACCCATGGGTTACCGCCATCTTTGGCACCATTCGCACCAGCCCCATCCTCCATGCGACCAAGCTCTTGGGGCTCGAATGGCTCTTACTGCCCATCTTCAAGCAACTCTTCAAGTCACGGAAGTTGCATGCTCTGCGAACCCAGGAGAAGCTCCAGCGGAGGATGGAGATGCCCGCAGACAGGCCCGATCTGATCGAGGGGCTGTTGAGGAAGAAGGACGAATGGGTACGCATCGACGTTGGACCAACCTATAGAGTGTAGGCATACTGACAAACGCCGCAGAACATCAGCATGGAGCGCCTCAACATTAATGCTAGTACCTTCATCATTGCGGGCTCGGAGACAACAGCTACGCTCTTGTCCGGGTTGACTTACCTGCTGCTCAAGAACCCCGAAGCCCTCAAGCAGCTGACCGAAGAGATCCGCTCCTCTTTCAATTCCGAAGAGGAAATCACCCTCACGTCAGTCTCGAAGCTCGAATACATGATGGCTTGCATCAACGAAGGACTCCGGATGTACCCGCCCGTCCCTGTGGGCATGCCGCGCATCGTCCCCAAGGGCAGAGGTGGCGTGACGATCGCCGGCGAGTTCATCCCTGACAATGTGAGTATCTGCCGGCTCCTGTCCCACCACCTCCCTGAATGAAGATCTGACAGCGCACCACACAGACCACCGTTTCCGTTTGGAACTGGGCAACATACCACCTCGAGTCGAACTGGTCCGACCCGTTCAGCTTCCACCCGGAGCGCTTCCTACACGACCCCAAGTACGCCGGCGACAAGCTAGACTCGCTACAGCCGTTCTCCATCGGCCCCCGGAATTGCGTCGGCCGCGGCCTCGCGATCGCCGAGATGCGCCTCATCCTCGCCAAGATTGTGTACAACTTCGACATGGAGTACGTCGACACGGACAAGGACTGGCTCGACCAAAAGATTCTCCTGCTCTGGGACAAGCCCGCGCTCAATGTTTACCTCACGCCTGTCGACAGGACATGAGGGGGGGCAATTGCCTGGCCGGGCATTGCGGTGTTTGGTCCGGGCTGGGGCGCTTGAAGAATTATTTAGCGATTTTGTGACGTGGATTTCTCTCCTTTTGGGATATATCGGGCGTAGTTTGGGGAAATAACCATGATATGATGTCCAGCAATACAAAACCTACCACTCACAAGTCAGAAGTTGCGATGTTGGCTCAGTTGGTAGAGCGTTGGTCTCATAACACGATCTGGTTAAACATCAGGAACATCCAAAGGTCGTGAGTTCGAGCCTCACGTCGCATTCTTTTTGCCCTGTCGACGGTGTTGACTCTGTGAGTGTCCCGAAAGCGTCAGCAGGCTGTATGCAAGGCCGGTTGTCAAATACTACAGCTCGGGATGTGCGGCTCTTGCCCCAATACCAGGCTTGCGAACTTGGTGGGTTACGCGAAACCCCCATTCTTGCCGGTGTTCCGATATGGTCAGGGCTAAAAATGCCGGGCTGTGGGGTGCTTAAAGTTAACGCCGCTCCGTTTTGGAGCTGCGCAACACACCCGTACTGGGTCGGCTGAGCATGTGCGGGATGCCATTTATGAATGCTCAAACACAGAAACGAAGAGGGTCAAAGCTCGCTGTATCCTCGACGGTCTGCAGAAAAGGGGCTGATATAAATGCAAGCCGAAAGTGCGAAGCAAGACGGATATGCTTGTTAGAAGAGTTGTTCACATCGCGGATAGCAGCTTGGAAACCCTCAAACTCAAACTCGAACTCAAGTCGAAGTGTATTTGCAGAGCCGTTGCAGCCGGACCGAATGTTTGCTACCACGGACAACTGCTCTCCACAGAAAAGCGAGTTCAGTATAGTTGTTTTGTTTCGAAGCCTTTCGTCGTGGCTCAGGTTGCCGGTCACATGCTTCTCGTCCACTCCATACGAAGATGACAAACCAGCCCTTGATGCACATAAGTTAGATAGCCATCAGCAAACTACTTCACACCCTTACCTAGGTATCACGGTGCCGGACTTGCATTCCCTCACTATGTATCGACTCGCGATCATCTCCCTCCTGCTCAGCCCCGCCACGGCCCTGAGCGTCGTGTGGGGTGACGTCGCCACAAAACGCGGCCCCTACGGCATACCAGCCAGCGTCTTCACCAAAGCAACATCCTCCCCGCGAGGCGTAAACGCATTTCTTGCCAACGGGGATAACACCTCTATCCCCGCGGGCCCTGTCGTCGCGACGGGCTATGACTCCAGACTCGACGAATGGGACCCCCACTTCAACATAACCGCCGACGTGTCCCGAGCCGAGTTGGACGACGGCACAGATGTAGACAGCCAGTTCTTCGAGGCGACGACACTTGCGATATCCCCTTTGGCAAGTCTCAGCAGCCCGGGGTTCAACAGTAACGCCTGAAAGGTGTGCGCCGTTGTGTTTACCGGCGGGTTAGGGAACGCCGATGCAGATGGAGCGGATGTAGGGGGATCATCTTCGGGATGCGAAAGTGTGCTACCGAGTGATTGCACCTCACAGCTGCAGGCGAACAGCGTGGCGGCGAATGCGAGTAGCAACGGGGAGTGTGTTGACCTGGCGATTCCGAGTAGCTGCGAAGGGCACTTCGTGGATGGGGTGGGTAGCACGTATGGTGGGTATTGAGGTACGACTCCTCACTTCACCGTGTTTGCTGACCATTGTGCGCAGACCTCGCTGGACTCAGCGCTGTCGCTAACGACAACAGCCGCGGCCAGCCGGTGCCCATCTTCGCGGTCGGATTGCACCGTATGCAGAATGGGCAACCAAACAGCACTTCACGAGGCGGGGAGGAAGGTCTAGCCGATCCTGCTGACGTGGACGCATTTTGCTGAGAATGGCGAAGTTCACGACAGCGCTGGATGGCTATTTGTCTCATAGCGGGGCGGGTGAGTAGAAATCCCGGAGTTGTGATTAGGCCATCAAGCTAGGCGCTAGGAGGCGCGGTTACGGCAGGCCCAGCGACGGTTGTTGTGAGTTTCATCGTGTTCGCGTTGAGGTTAACGTTAACTGTTGGATCAAGGGTGAAGAATGTGGCTTACGGCTTACGTCACTGTTGAAAATGTTTGGTGTCGCGAAAAAGAAAGTTTGCTCTTCAAGCCACACCAAGTGCGACAGGGCGGCCATTTCAGTGGCAGGGTCAGTCACGATCATGAATCGCGAAGCCTGTACACTACCAAGATAGATAACCCAGCTGGAATGTAGGCCGAGAAAATCCATCGCAGAGTCTCTCATAACGAATGTAGCGGAACGGCGCAAAACGAAGCCCGTGACCCCTCCAAGAAATACGGGGTCTCCAGCCCCGCGTCCAGTCCCGTATTCTACCTAGGTAGGCCACGCGCCCGTTCCACACCTGCCGGCGGGGTTTAGGCACTACGAAGTAGAGTTCCTCATCCCGGTCCTTCTGCTTCAACTCGGCACTCGAGGGACAGTCTTCGAGGCAGAGTGGGTCCCTGGGCAAGGTTTCCGTTCCTGGTGGTGTAATTACATGGGTCCGACAAAAAGGGGTTAGGGGGCGCGCATGGATTCGGCCGTTGTTCCGGCACCAGCTTCGCGCAGGCTTCTGTCAGGCTTCTCTCATTTCTGCATTCTCCAGCATCCCAGCCGTTCGTTTATTCCCGAGCGACGACCAAGGCGGATTGAGTCAAGCAATGGACCGGATGCATCCCCTCGAGTACCATCGACCCACGGGAGAAGGCTAAAAATAGGCGTCACGTTAAATAAACCTTGGCCTTGCGTCGATGCGAGGTAGACGCGGAATGCAAACATTTTGTCCTGCGTTTCTAGGTGTATCGACATGCAATCTGAAGAGACGGATAGATGCATTTCGAGCTACATGTCGCTAGGCAGGAAACCTTTGTCTCGGGACGTTTGCGACAATTGCCAACAATTACAACGGACGGGAACAATTCAGCAGTGACGGGAGACCGCAAAACCTGCAGTGCGGAAACGCGCGATGGTGCCTGCCCAGGCTCGCGCTTCGTGCCCCCTTCATACGGGGACATACTGCAAGGGCAACGCAGCCATCACCCCAAGATCACCATCAGACAAATGAGGGACCCAATTATCACTGTCTCTGATCTTGTCTGATGACGGCATTGTGGGGTCTAAAAGTCTACCACAACTCCAGGCCAAAACTTGCTGCTGTGCTGCTCTCGATTTTTGTTTGACCGCAAAGAACTTGTGGAAACACAGAGCTGCGCTCTCCTGCCAGAATGTCAAAAGTTGAAGGGTTCTGCAAGCTTTGGCGGGTGGGTAACGCTACTGCCAGGCCCGTGCGGTTTGAACAAAGCCAAGCCCATGCACCCATGACAAGCAGCAGCCAACTGCAGCCATGAACTCCTCCGACCAGCGACCAACCAGCGTCCGACCTCTCGCATGTTCTCCCAGTGAACCTGTTGATGCGCGAGTTGGGGGGTGGTACTGGAATCGCCATCCCCAGGTACGTACTGCGCGATCTCGTATCCCCTCGAACCCCTCTGCCCAAACCGGACATTTCCTACTTCACAGCCTCGCAGTGCAGCCCGATCCCTGTCGCCTGTCATCCATATTTCCCCATGGCGTTGCCGTCTGGCCCTCTCAGCCCATCGGCCCCCTGGAAGCCAGTCTAAAATCTGTCCGACTCCAAGTGAGATAGAGAAGACCAAGGAAATGTTATTTTCCTCCATCTTCGCCCCTCCACCGACCCGATGAGCATATCCAGCACGCGCAGCAGCGAGTCCCGCTTCTGCTCGCCCGCCAAAATGTTGTCGCGGAGATCCTTTCTTGTTGTCACCCTCGCTGTCGCCAGCATCCTCGCCCTGCTCGTCACCTCCAGGCGACTTGGCGCATGGTCCGCCTTCGACGAAACCTACTACCACCCCGATCCTCACAAGAGCCACCACGCGCCGCAGGGCCCTCTCGACGACTCTGAATCTCTCGGCAGACCTGGCGCAAATAGCTCCCACAATGCCGACCTCGGCCCCCTGCCCCCGCCATGCGCCGGTTTTCCAAACACAGACAACATCCTGCTAGTCATGAAGACAGGCGCGTCCGAGTCGTTCGCGCGCATTCCGACCCAGCTTATGACCACGCTTAGCTGCCTTTCCGACTACCTTATCTTCAGCGACATGGCCCAGGAGATTGGTGGCCAGCGCATATTCGACAGCCTTGATAAAGTCTCGGCCGATGTGCAGGAGAACAACGCGGATTTCGACTTGTACCGTCGCCAGAAGGCATGCATCGTTGACCAGGATGGATGCAACAAGGTTGGCGACCCAGCCAACGAGGGTTGGGCCTTGGACAAGTACAAGAACGTGCACATTGCCGAGAAGACGTTCGCGATGCGCCCGGGCTACGACTGGTACGTGTTTGTCGATGCCGACACGTACGTGCTCTGGCCCAACATGGTGCAGTGGCTCCGCGGGCTGAAGGCAAGCAAGAAGCACTACTTGGGAAGCGTCACCTTGATCAACGACTTCTCCTTTGGTCATGGCGGGTCGGGCTATGTGGTCAGCCAGGCAGCCATGAAGTCGTTCGTCGGGAGAAACAAGGGCGTCGGTAACGCATATGACCTGCGCGCCAAAAACGAGTGTTGCGGCGATTATGTTTTTGCGATGGCGTTGCACGAGCTGTCCAAGGTATCCATTGAACAAGTCGTAAGTTTACCCGGTCCTGTTGTAATGCGGGCTCTCCCGTAACTCGCTTGGATGCTTGGGTGGCCAGCCCATTTATCCTCGCCCTTGACTTTGAACCGCCCTCGCTTCGCGGGGGCGGGAAGAGATATGATAACTACCTCACATTCCTGCGTCGGCGTGTGTGGAATGCTGACCACGATCGTGACCACAGTGGCCAACCATTAACGGCGAGAAACCTGCGACTCTTCCCTTCGGCCCGTCGCACTGGTGCCACCCCATCGTTACCATGCACCACATGAATAGCGAAGAGATCAACACCTTCTGGAACTTTGAGCGCGAGTTCCGCAGGGCGCAGGGCCACGGCTCCTTGCAACAGCCTCTCCTCATCAAGGACATATACCGCCACTACTTTGAATCCAAGCTTCAGGCGCGGCGTGATGACTGGGACAACCATTCCGATGATCGTTTCTATCTCGAAACGAACTTGACCCACGAGTGGGAAGACTGGCAGGTGGAGCGCGTGAGGGACCAGAACAGTTACAACGAGTTCCAAGCCAAGGCCCATACATCGTTCGAGGCATGTGAGGCCGCGTGCCTGAGTCTCGACGATCACGAGTGCTTCCAATTCCAGTATCGCGATGGCGCGTGCAGCACGAGCAA